CCATTGGTTGTTTTCTCTTCTTGGTATCAAGTACACCCTTTTTGTTTTGTGTTTGCACACTGGCATTTGATCCATGAGGGAGGCCCTTCAGCGCTACTGTACTGGAAATAATAGTAATATCTCCCAGTAATTCCAAGTGGAGGCTGCTTTGAAAGTGACAGAGCTCTCAGACTTGAGAAGAATACTTAAATATGTGTTTCATTTTGGCAACTAAATACCTTCATTTTCATGTCAGAAAGGCTGCAAGAAACACATGTATTATCAACGTTTGCAGGCTTGCTCAACTGATTTTTTTTTTCAAAAACAATTTTGCTATTTTAAATGTATGCTTAATATATTCTGTTTTTTTTATCAAAACCTTCAGTTTCATTAAACTGGCTACAGAGGTCTGCCTAAATACAAAACTCTTTCTAGGTGAACATAAAAGTTTAATTAAAACCACTCTGAGAAAATTGGGAGCAGATTTGCAATTGGGACACACTCAGCTGGAGGCCTTTGAGGTTTGATTGCAGAACCTGTCAGACTGGTGTCAGTCGCCATTTTTGCAATGTTCTTCACTGTGCTACCTGCTTATTGTGGCCTTTGAAAAGCCACCTGAAGCACCAAACTCCTCTTAGCATATTTCCAGATTGCCAGTTTAACGCTATCCTTACTTGATTGCTTGGCAAGTGGAAATTAGCCCACTGCAAGGGCAGAGCTGGTACAGCTTTGCAGTGAGATGCCCTGTGAGCCATGGGTGGGAAGGGGATGCAGCGTGAGAAGGAGCCTGGCTCATGAGTGAAGAGATGAGTGGCTGCAGGGAGCTGAAGGACTGACTGCTCCAGAAGCTCTACTGAAGGATGACCATTCTCGGTGGTATTTAGAAGAAAAGCGTCCATAAATCTAGGAAAATCAGCTGATGTCGTCTCTTTTTGATGTGGAAGTCTGGCATAGCACTTTATTATCTCACATTCAATGTTGATTGCTGTGTTGCTAGTCAAAGTGTAGTTTCTTACCTGCTGCCTAGTTCTCGGTCTTTACTGCCTTTCACTCCAGCATGACTTTTAATGTACTTTGGGAATGTCATTTTATTTTACTGAATGTTTCAAACCTTGAATAAATACTGAAATCCTGGAAGGCCATTTGTATCAGTCCTCAGAAGACAAATTCCTGTTGAAGCTAATGAAAATTCAGCCTTCAAACCCCCGTCCAGAAGGGAAAAGAAAGAAAAGAAAGAAAGAGCATTTTGGCTCTAGTTGGACAAATGTATTTCAAGTTATGTATTTACTTCAGTGCTTGCTGGATCAGAAATCCACCCAAAGAAAAATTATGGTGAATAATCTAGCTCAGGCACCCACATCAGTCTGTGGTTGAGTACTGTAAACACTCATAAACTCAACAGCATGATCTGCCATGTGGGGCATTACCTTATGATTGGCTTGAAATGAACCTACTAGTCTGTGTGATGCAGAATGAGGTTAGAAGGAAACACAGAAAGCAGTTTGGATACTTTACCTGGAATGGGTTAAAAATGGGCAAACAAAGGCACACCATGCAATCCACTCTCCTACGTCACCTGTGCCTGTAGGATAGTCTCTTGTTCCTTTAACATTTTGGCCTGGAGCTTCCACTCTGCAGCTTGGTTCAGGAGCTGTGTTTCAGGCAACAGAGAGAAAAGTGTTAAATCCCTGACTTGCCAGTTGTAGATCGTCATCATCCAATTCCCAATCATCCACACATACGGCCTTTACCACCGTGCACCTCAATAAGGGGAGGGATTTAGCACTCCTGTGAGTGCATCAAGAGGAGGTACATGAGACAGAATATTTAGTGCTATCTGGAAGAACGAATGGGGCATTTGGATAAAAAAGATATATTTGAATAGGAATTTGCAAACTGCCTGGAATAAAGTGAGCATATATTGTGCTCTAAAGTGTGTAGTGTTTAACACTACTGTGTTAACACTAAAGTGTTAATCAAGCAGTCTCCATCAGACTTCCAGAGACTGCCTACAACGCCTTCAGTTCTTTCACCTCTGCTGTCGTGTAGATGGCAGCCTCCCTTTTGCATTAACAATAAGGACTCAGCATCGTGAAACTGCAATAGCTGGAAGCTTTTAGAAAGAGAGTAACTCTGGTGCCTGTTATCTTAGGGCTTTATTTGTGTTAACGTGCAGTCTGCAGAGGATCCCACTGCAGTGTGACAAATGCCTCATGTAGATCAAAGAGGCAGCCCAGAAAGAGCCTGATTGCAGTTTAATCCCTGGCTGTGCCTGGGAAGACACTATCTCTGGCTCAAGGTCTTTAGTAAAATGGCATTTGGATGTGTCAGTTGCACACAGGAGACTCAGTTGAGGCCGAGCGAGTTGTAGCAATGAGTTTTACACTTTCCTTGATGAAAAAAAAACGAAAAACTTAAGATTGCAGTTCTGAATCAGCACTTCCAAAGTTCAATATTCCAAAGTAATACTGTTCCAGTCATATATTACTATTCCATATATATTACTATTCCAAAGTAATATCCTAGCAATTGGTTTCATCAGTACTTCAGGAATTACTTAGTGAAGTGTTAAGGAGTTTGGCTCACTGACCAAACGTTTATTAAGCATTACTTTTATTGATAAGAGAAAAGCTATTTTAGAAAAAAAAATGCTAATGATAGCTTGAGAAAGGAGATATAAACTATTTAGTTTACCATAATACGCTCTTATGTTGGAATTAATTGTACCATTTAAAATAAGACCAACGGGCTCTGAAAAAGTATATTAAGAGTAAGAGTCTAATATATAAATCAGTAAATCTCATTCTTGTTTTGGGAAAGAAAGGTGAGTAAAGCTGCACACAGAAGGTATATTTATTTGATCATTCATAAAAGCCTCATTTTATTAGAAGGAACACAGGAAAACTACTTGAATATCACCTGACAAAAAATGTGACTGTGTACCTAAAAATACTGATTGAACAAATGAAAAATAGTGAATTCTCTCCCTTTCCTACTTGGAGCACAGAGGCTACCTGAATTAGACTTGTTGCCTATATATATTTTATCCTTAAAAAAAATTTCTTACAAGCATTTGGCCTTTCGATTTGAACCCATTAAGTTTTTAAAGTGCTTTCTTTACAGCTTAGCTATGAACTGTATGGAGAAACACTACAGTCTATCTGCTTTTTACTTGCCACTTGACATTTATTTTGTTATTTTAATGTAATGTTTATTTTCAGTGAAGATAGGAGTTGAATTATTGAGTTTAGATCTTGTTGACTAAGATCTCAAAATTTCAAATAGATGGTGTCAGCATGTCATATCCAGTAAAAAGAGATGGAATGAGTAGCTCTAGGTAAAATAGGAGCAAATCCTTTAATTTTTTTATTAAATTTGGATTTTTTTTAAGTTTTATCTTTCTCTGATATCTGTTTGCTTTGGGGAGATTTACCGGGAGTCTTGATTTAATGATTTAAAGAATAGCCTTCAGAGCCACACAGTCTCTAGGCCAGTCCTTAATTCCAAAGTTTTTTTTTTTTTTTTTTTTTAAATCTGGGTTTATCTCTAGATAAGTCCAGAGTTACTGCCTGCATCTTGGATAGTGAAGATGTCACCCCTGTGTGTTGTCACCCTTACCCTTTGCCTCGTGTCTTCTGTCCCAATACAATATCAGTAAGATGGACAGATGGACAGAGAAGGGAAATAAAAGTTACTTCCTTCACTTGTTAGCAAAATCCTGCTTTTCTCCTATTGACCCACCTAATTTCTGTGGCCAGTTAAGATCCAAGAATTAAATAACCCTCCTATAATGGAAGCAAGATGCAGAGCAGCTTGCTCAAATTAACATGTTCTCTTATGCAGCCTGAGGTCATCTGCAAATACCAGGCTGGGAGAAACTGAATCAGGAGAACTGATACATTCATTAATAGTCTATGAAGTGGTAACAAGGAGGCTGAAGTATAAAGAAATGGATAAATATTGCATGGCATGTTTACAAAACACCACTGCAGTTAAGTGTAGTGATGTTACACTGTATTATTAGAGCTATGACAGCTGCTGGAGGCCCAGTCACATCATGCTCCAAGTGGAAAGGGCCATCCCCAAAGGATATACATTCTCATTCTGTGACATAGATCCAGGGACTGATTCAGTGAAACTCTGACTTCCCTTTTTGCTACCAGTGTTTGCAAAGTCCAGTTATGTAGATATCTGATCGATACCTTCCTGTCACATTCTGGAAAGACACAGAGGCTCTAAACTGCAATTAACTGTGCATAGAAGTTTGTATTATGAGTGCTAAAATCACACTATATCTTGAAGGAGCCCAAGTAATGCTGACCAGCTAGAGGATGATGGTGAAATCACATCTTTAGGTCAGACCGAACCTTGAGGAAGGCTGCACAGTATGAAACGCTGCTCCATGTCTAGAGAATCATATTTTTTGCTGCATGAATTGACAAACAGAACACTGTGGAATCACCAGATGTTCCAGAAAATGCTATTTTCTACTTTTACAGCATTTAAAAGAAACACAGATGCCATATTATTGTGGTCATGGGTTCTTTCAATGAGTGAATCATACCAACACAGAGATGTCCTGTCTGACCACAGCCTGATAAGCTGCCATGCACAAAGGCAATGTCTCTCCCTGAATGAGGTAAAGAAGTTTTTATAGGAGCAAAGATTCCTGCATGGAAGAACTTCATAAGAAGACATCAAAGTAAGCCTTCAAGGAGTAATCATACAGATAAAAGAATAGAAAAAAAATATTTTAAAAATGTTTGAAAACTCCTGCAGCAAAGTCATGCACAAGGATGTAAAAAGTGGTATGAAGAGAACTGTTACCACTGAAGACCTTTCCCAGAAATGCTGAAAAGTGCTGCCTTTGCACAATGCTGAACTGAAATGAGGTACAAGTATACGAAAAGACTCCCAGAAACACCTCAGTTTCATATAAGTATGCACACACACCCCTACATGGAGTAGCTGGATGGGTGGAAGCAAGAGCTCATCAACAAGCTTCAGGCGGGAGACAAGTGTAGGCTAGTTTTCTGGGTGCTGGGCTACCAGTGGTGAATCATGACATGCTAATCCTGTTTTGATACTGACTCATTGCATGGCTTTTGGCCAGTGTCTTACCTTCTCTGGCTAAATCTGCCTTGCTCTGAGGTGATATTAGTAATACATTACCAAATTACCTCAAAGGCAGGGTTTTTGTGCTTTAGCTTGGATAGTGTGCATAAAATTATTTGAACACAATGTATATCATTATACACCCACTACTTTATGGCTTTTTAGTTGTTTTTTGAACCTATTATTTCATAGGTCTTGTCATACATAGCCACAAAGAAAATCTCCCACTCCTGAATTTAGATGACGATGAGTTTCACTACTTTATAAGAAATGGAAAGAATGAAACTGTCTATCACTTCTGCTAAAATATACAGAGGAATGTTGGCTATGATAGTCTGTGACAGTCATAGGCAGCAGAGATAGCCCCAAAGCTCATATTCTTTGCGATCTATTGGTTCTATAAGATCAGTTATCTACACTCAGCAAACACTGACTATAGCCTTTTCCCCAGGTTACTTTGCAATCCTTCTGTGGAGCTTTCCGACAAACAGGTATAAGCTCCAATGTAGTACATGGACTTGCCTTTGAGGCAATGTGACAGGGAACAAGGAAAGGCTGTGTATATTAATTCTCCACAGACTCAATGTCCCATATTTGACATTTTTTTTTCTCAGTATCTGAAATTTGGGACTCATGGAAAAAATTCACAATCACATCAGGAAAGTAAGCCCAAATTTGCCTACTGTGTTATATTTGTTATCTGGAATAATACAACATTTGGCGACTGAGTTTTCAGGTATGGCAAAGAGTTTTCCTTACCACATATGAGTGAGTTGTATAACTGTCAGGATAGACTTTCTGAGCTCATTAAACAAAGTACCTCTGTGAGAGAGGTGCTCAGATCACCTGCAAAATCTGTGTTTTGACAGGTGGATGTAGCCATGGGTAAATGTAACTAATTGCTAGCCCATGACCAACTAGACTTGAGTCAGTTTGAGTTGGTTTATAGCTATAAAGAGCTACAGGGATTTGGAAGGGATTTCTTGGAAATGTTTCCTAGCGTTTGAATCTACTAAGTATCGATTGTTATTATAGAAATTTGGAGTTCTAGATTTATGTAGTCCCCAACATTGCAAGTGAGTACTCAGCTGGGACCAAAATTGTTCTGCAGCAGCAGGAAGATGTGGAACTGGAGAAATCCTGTCTCCTCTTCCCTCCTGGTTCCTAGCTGTGAGTAAAGGTGAGAAGTTTGTCTCCCAGGCACATGAGCAGTATAGTTAAAGGGAATAGTGTTCTTATGAGCTATATTTGATTAAGAATATATCTGTGTTTTCCTTGTGCTCTGTCCAAAGTGTTTAAAGCCCCACATTTTGGGATACTCATATTTGAGATCTCTATATTTGGTATACTATGGATGTTGGGAAACATTCATATTTTGGGATACTTTGACTACGCTTATAGTAACATATCTTCAGATATTGTGTGGGGATAAATATACTCTCAGTTGAGCTCTCTCATACTGCTCTTGGTGCAAAAAGAATACTTTTTTCCTTGTGTTTTTTTTTCCTTTTTCCCTGAGCCCTGATGCTCCTCTGTAAGTAGTCTCAGCTGCTGTCACTGTTGAGAAAAGTGACCAGATGTCAGTGTTCAACACTGATCCTTGGTAGATGTTCATATTACTGTGAAATTACCAGGCAGCCTGAGAAAAATACTTGTGGTTTGATTAGGTGAAAATGTGTGAAGCCACAGGCAGGCGCCACCCTACAGATCCTTGCATGCCTGGTGGGGACATGCTGCTTGGACCTGCTCTTTGCTGACCCCTGCTAAGGCTTATCACTCCGACTGGGTAGGCTAGAGCAGCCAATTAAACTACTTAGCTAACCCAAGAAGTTTCTGCTTCAAACAGTCACTGACAGGTTGACGAGAGGAGGATAACATCTGCAAAAGAGAAGGGGAGGCGAGCAACTTATGTAGCCTCCTTTCCTAGCAAAACCAGCACCATGGCAGGACATCCAGGGAGGCACTGAGCAAGGGCAGAGAACTGTTGCTGGCCCCTAAGGGATGCTGGTGCTTATGGTGCTCATTTTAATAACATGGTCTTGTTCTCCTTTCATTGCTTAAATGTGTTCATTTATCATATGAGGAGATGGAGAGTCGAGTAGCAGTGCAGTCTGAAAAGTAATGGCATTGTCTAACCAAGCATATTGTATAATAATGGCAACTTAGCTAGAGCAATCTGCAGTTTTTTTAAAAAACTGTATATGCTAACGAAAGCAGTGTTTCAGAGGATGTTCCTTTACAGTGAGCATTGACAAGCAACAGTAAAAACTTGTTTTTCCCTTATATTGTATCACACCTTGGACCTGAAAAAACAATATATCATGGCATGCAGGGCTGATTTTGGCCTAATGTTAGACTAAAGACAGACAGACAGATTAGAAAGATAGGTACATATTCCTTCTCTTTCTGGTGTCGCTCCTCTGCTTCCTTCATCATTTCCTGAGACTGCTCCAACTTGGCATCCACCAGTTTCTGTTGAAGTTCTCTGTGCTTAAATATTTTATCAAGGTGCTGTAAGAAAATAAAATCTGCTGAATGTGCAGGTTCAATTATGTACGCAGGCTTTCGTGCTCATACATGTACAGCTATCTACTGGAACACTCATAAGACAAAAAATATTGCAAAACAGCAAGGCTCCCGACCTATTGCTTTTCTAAAAAACTGCAGTACTGATAAGAACTAACTGTTCCAGGATTTGTATAGGAAAGGAGACCTGTCTTACAATAGCAAAACAGAAAAGACACCCACAGCACCTTTGCCACTGTTGAGAGCTGTAGCATCATTCGTTAATTCAGTATAATCTAAGCTTGAATAGTTGCTCATCAATAATCAAGTTGCAGTAAGCATATTTTTTGGAGGCCGTTAAATGGCCAGGAGACCTAAGCCACTGGGCAGATAAATGGGTTAAAAGACATACTGTGCCTGGATCTGCAGCACTTCGGTGTACGTGCACGGCTCATACCAGCTTCTCAGTAGATATATGCCCAGTTTGTTCCATTTGCTCTGGCCTCACACACAAAAGGTAGTATCTGATTGCAATTATGCAACTGGTGATGAACAGGACATCAGAACTGATGAACTGGGGGTGTCTTTTGCTTTCTAAAGTGTCTGGCTCCATAGTGGCCCCCTGAAGTCAATCACGCTGATAGTCCTCCTCACGTTCGCTGCATGTGGATAAAATTCACTGGAGTAAATATTTTAAGAACATTCATTTTCTTTACCCTTTTCTTCTGACAGAAACCACAAGACAGGAATGCACATTTGTGTCCTTCAATGTAAGATTTCATACATGATGTAACATATCTGGACACGAGTGTTTCGGGCATTCCAGATTGTAAGGACAGATTACTTATGTTTTATTCACTACGCTAATGTTGTCTGGCTGCAATGAAACTCACAATAAACATAATTACAAACACTAAAAAGACCCACTGTGATATTTGCTAGGGTTTGTCATAAAATCAACACAAAAAATAATCTGGTAGTTTGCTGCAGTTTTTTTGTGTGTCAGAATTTTCTGACCAGCTCTAATGCTTACAGAAGGAATAATTTTCCATCTGTCTGCTATCTGATAGATTTTACGGTGAACATTACAGCCTGCAAAAGAAGAATTCAGATTGCACAGGGCCTCCTTTCTCCTGATTGTTGATCCCCTGCATCTAGGGTAGGGCTGAAGCATTTGTGGGAGGGCAGGGCTTCTCAGCAAGCCCTGTTTGTGGGACGAGCCGGGCGCCGTCCTCCCTCGTTCCCTCCCATCCCGTAGACCCTACATCTGTGCTCCGGCCCCTCTTCACCCCTTGGTATGGGAAAAGGCCAGAAGAGAGAGGCTTGGAGATAGCAGGGACAAAGGACAAGGGTGGTAAGAGGCACCTCACGGGCCTGAGTCTGGCCTCAGCCCTGGTCCGCAGCAATGACAAACTTTTCACCTGTCAGGCCATGTTCTTCTCTGCCTGTTTTTTGCCATGCTGAGTCCCTTTGACTTGCTCTGGATGAGACTGCAAAGCGTTGTTGAGGCTACCCACGGTCTTGCCACAAAATATGGAGATGGCAGCAAGCGGGGAGGTGCTGCATGAACCCGCTCCCCTGGGAAGGCCGCGTTCCCGCTCTGCCTTTTCGGGAAGGCCGTGTGTTGCTCTCACCTCTTCCCGGAGCTCGTATTGATCGATGATGCTCTTGAGCTTCTCCGCCAGCTCTGTATTTTCTTGGCACAGCTTCATGTTCCTTTCACTTTGCTGTTCGATCTGAGCCTGGATTTCACTAAGCGTGCCCTGGAAATGATTAGTTATTTCTTTCCTCTTCTCATCTTCCTCCCGTGCTCGCTGAATCGTTTCTTCCTGTTGTTAAAATTGTGGAGAGGGTAGAAATATAAGGCACATAATAAGCAATTGCAACAAGATAGGCTTTCAGAGCATTGTAAGAGCTTTCTCTGAAGGATTATACACGTCTGCTTTCTAGATTTTCTTTTTTTCATGTATGCCGGCATTAGGCATGATTCTAAATTTAAAGAACAAATGACACAGGGATCTTGAAAAAATTAGGAAACCAAGAATTTGCATTTACAAAGACTGATGTAAATCAGAGTTCTCAGATTAAAGTGAATTTGGAAGAAGATATTTAGCAATAGTAGTCAAAGGCTTTTTATCAAAACCCTTGATTGAATTGGAGATTCACCCTTTAAAAATGCTTTCTGTTAACTAGAAATCCTAATATCAAATTTATGGTCTTTGTGTTTCATTTTTTTAAGAGAAATTTTCTACAGATCCCAACCGAGTTCCTCAGTCTTGCCTTAATTAATAGGCAGTTAAATCAAGGAAAAATCGTGGGCCATTTCTTAGAGTCATGAAAGAGAATAAGATTTTTACCTGGAGAAAGACTGACAGTTTTTTTTTTATCTGGATTTTTTTTTAATATAAAGGACAATGCAGAAGGAATCCAGATTATTAGCTTTTGATCAAGAAATACAGACAATTTTTATTTCCTACTTGGAAATAAAGGGACAGTCTCTCCTTCTGGAGAGACTATAACCATTATATACAATGTTAGTACCATAACTCCTGTAGTTACAAATCATGCTGGAACCATGTTGAGAAAACATTCTATGGTATATATGTGGCATGCTCTAATAAGATTTCAGCTACCTCAGTAATTCAAATAAAAATCTCTGACAACATTGCGTATGGATATTTCCTATAAGTATATTTGAATAAAGCCTTAGCTGACTAATGGAATATAATTTATATTGCAAATGTGACATAAAAGGTGTTGATCCAGGTCCTACTTTTGAAGTAGTATGAATACTAAATCAGACAGTTTCTACTTAGCATGCAAAACACAAAACTGATCCTGAACAACTGCTGTTCGAAGTACAGAACATATGTGCTTTTGCCAAACTGGAAGTGGTATAAAAGACAATGTCATAGATGACAGGAGGAAAGTTACTGGGGATAATTATTAGTGCTAATAATACAGTAGTGCACAGAAATCACTCTGAAATCCTGCTTTGCTCTGCATTTGCACAAGAACATATGTGCATATTCATAAAAATAGTGAAGTAAAGTATGAACCCGAGGGAATTTCATTCATAAGAGGTGGACAAAAGATTTGAGGTTTTCTGGTTTGATATTTGAGGAAATTATATGCACAAAAATTATACATTAAGACAAAAGAGATTCTCTCTAAGTTTTCAGCAAAAAAAAAAAAAAAAAAAAAAAAAAAATTTTGAATTACCTGAAACATGTTGCTTAACCAGATATTAACCAATGTTGCATTTCTGGTACTTTTTGATTATCCTTAATATTGAACTTAAAATGTTACTTAGAAGGTGTCTTGCATCAACTGTTTTAGACGTATAACTTCTGCATAGCTTCTGTATAACGTTTGCACAGGCAGAAGAGTGGCCAGGTTCTTTCAAGGAGTCAAAGTAGGAAATTGAGCTTGCATGTTTGGAGTCCTATTCCAGAGTTTCAAAACACCTTTCCTCAAAAACACATTGTTTCAATACACCAAACAGTGTTATGAAGCTGTGACACTGCTGTGATTTAAAGTTCACTGGAGTAATAAATCCAGGTGAGTATAAAATAATAAAAAAAAAGGTCTGTGCATTGCATGTAAGACACACCAAATAGTTTTGTTACACGGTGAAAGGAGACATCCTGACAGCAGCAATCATTAAAAAAAATGCATCTGCTAACACACAGGATCTTATTTTTTGCTCCTTTCTTTTTCAGAGGAGGAATAATTATACAAAGCGCAAAGAGAATAACAAAAAATATTGGTTAAAGATGCTGAGAGCCATGAAACATTTGTTGCATGGCACAGACCTCTTCTCCTTAAAAGGTAAAGCCAGAGAATATTTGCCTTGGAAAGCTGATGAGTGCCCTAGAGAGCTCAAAATCTCTCATAAAATACTAGCAATTTACTAAATCCTTGCAATTGTAGTTATAAATTAATGGTGGACATGGATGAGAGGAAGTTGGCTTGGAAGAAAGGCAGCCTGCAGTTTTTCCACGGTGCTGGGATCTGCACTCATTGCTTCTTCACTGGGTGAAGGAAAGCAAGTCTTTGGGTCTTCTTCTCTGCCCGTGTAGTGGAGATGACTGAGAGGTTGCCATTGCACATCTAACTGTACTGTTGAGTACTCCCTCCTGTAATATGCTTCCAATCTCAGATATTTCTAGGCATTTCTGATACTAGCATCAGAGTAGTTTGGTCTTTGGAGGCATGTGCTTGAAATCCAAGGTTTTACTAGCTGTACAAGCATATAATTGAAACTGTACCTGCACTGGAACCACGGACAGGCTGGCGGGATCCCTGCAATTAGAACTGCAGAGTACTATTTTGTCTTCCACCTGAAAATGGTCGGACACTGTCCGACAGACCTCAAATCACCTCCCCAGATATGTTATCACCAGACTGCAGCCTAAATATTTGCTTATACATCTCCCAATTACCTGAGAGAATGCCCTTCCATTCAATAGATCTCTTTATCTTTTTGATTTCCAGACCCTGTTCTGTAAAGCAATATCCTTAAGCTTTTTCATATACTGGAAGACTGAATATTGACTTCTCTTTAATGATACTGCTGTTACTCCTGAAGTAAATGTGCACAGTCCTGTGCTCCTGCCTGCTCCATTGTGCTGGAGAAGAGTATTTTGGAAGGTTTCATCCCAACATCATCATGGTCAATTCATACTGCGCAAACCATGCTTGGCCTCATTAATTGCTCCAGCCTGTGCTTATTCTGTTAATAGCTTTAATAATAGCTTTAAATTAAACATTCAGTTTCAATGAGCAAGAAAAAAAAATGCACTGGAGTTCTTAGAGTTCTGGTTGTCCTTTTCCTCCTTTCCTCTGTCTTTTCTTGATCTTCTTGTGCTCTGTTTCTCTCCTGTTAAAGGTATAGTCATATGCTACTGTGGTATTGATAACACTCTCCTGTGTTCCACTGCTGAAGTATAAAAGTACATTGATAAAACCTTGTAAAATTATGATGAGGCTATTTTACAGTTTGCAATTTATTACTCGCTGCAATGCAAAATAATTTGTAACTAGAAGAGCAGGATTATCTCTGGTCCTGATCTCTCTCTGAAGCACATCAAGGAGATTGACCAAACATGAACACAATACGGAGAAATTAGTTTCTATTGGTATTAGCAGGGTTATTCTGTATTGCAGTGGGAATACATTCTATTATTTCAAGGACTTTTATTCTGCTTTTCTTGGAGGGAGAATTAAACATCTGTTTTCTGCTATGAAGTGTAACCACAAGGAAATAAACCGAATGGCTGGACTGTAAGTAAGTAAAATTTTGAGCCAGCATCCAATATTAACCAGAAATTTTCTTCTCTGATCTGCATCTCTGTATTGCATATTCATCACCACTTAGCTGCACTGATCTCCAATTAATGGGAATTCCATGCACTAGATGACTAAAGATGACATTTACATGACGTGTTGTGCATATAATGTACCACCTGGCAAGTCAAAGGAGAAAACTTGTAATTCAGAGTAGGCCAGGTTTCTCTTTGCTTTCGAAATGACAAAATCTCCTACAGTTTTTTGTTTTCCACTCTGAAAGTGCTAATCCCAAGTGCTAAAAAAAAATATGAATCAGCTTCTCTATCCTGCCAAGAAGACAAAATAAAAATGACTTAAGCATGGGATTTTAAAAATAACACATGTGGATTCTCCTGTTTTGGGGCCTCCCAGTGCAGTCATAAGCAAAAGGAAATTACATTTATTTAAATAAAGAGAAGATAAGATTCTGAAGATTCACAGATCTCCAGAAGGTAAAGCTTAAAGACAAATATTCTGAGAACCACAGTACAATTACTAGACAGATAAAACTGGACAAAGAAGCCTTTATTTACTGTTTTAATCCTTATTCATTTTGCAAATATATTTTGTCCTACTGTCTTATTTAACTTTGCTTTCTCATGCTGAAAGGATAAGAACCAGACAAAGGCTAATATTCTGTGTTAAACTAAAAGGTTAAACTTCTAAGAAAGAAGTGGCCAAAATGTAAACATTTCTTCCATTTAAAAAATTGGTTCAGGCTTGCCTAAATGTAAAGATGAAATGCATAGTGAACTATCTAAATGCAAAGATAAAAGACAAATGATATTTTCTAACAATGAAATCAATAAGCCTATGACCACTTATGAAATGAAAGAAAATTTATTACAGTGAATGGAGATTAAATCAAGTAAGATTCTTGCTTCTGAGAATTCATATATGTAATTCAATACATAACTATATCTTCACATAAGAAGGATTTTGAATAGATCAAACTAGTTGTTTCTTTTATATGCTAATAACATTAACCTCCTTAACTTGTATTCAGAAAAAGACCACACCAGAAGCATATTTCTTAAACCTGAAACTTTTCAAAAAACTTGATCATATTATAAATTTCACTTTTAAATGGCATAATGCACCTAGTAATCAGCAAATATGGTATGTATCCCAGCCCCTTTGACAGTTCTGAAAATTTCCTTTACAAGCTAATTCTCATAATTGAGACAATTTATGCTGTGTCAGCAATCTTCCTGTTTTGAAGTTTAATGTCTTGAGGTGAGTATCTTGACTGACTATCCTTCACAGATCATTAGCAAATGCCCAAGTGGATTCTATGAAAAATACCCACCGCCCCCTGTGAGTCCTTTATAGAAAAAACACTAAATTTCACAGAATCACAGAATGGGTAAGGTAGAAAGGGACCTCTAGAGATCATCTAGTCCAACCCCTCCAGCCGGGACACCTAGATCACATGGCACAGGGTGGCATCCGGGCAGGTTTTGAAGATCTCCAGAGAAGGAGACTCCACAACCTCTCTGGGCAGCCTGTTCCAGTGCTCTGTCACCCTAATTTGCTCATATTTTGTTCAAATTTCATTTTCATTTGGTCGTATTTTATTCTGGCCATGCATGTGTAAGTAAGATAAGTTCTGGAAAACCTAGCTACTATGTCTTAAAAGATGAATTTCCCCAGCTGCCTGCCCCAGTTTGCCATGCCACAGCAGTCAGCACAGGGAGCATGCGCCTGTGCCCAGGCAGCCTGGCTCTCAGCCCCGCTCCTTAGCTTACACTGGTGTTAAAGGCAGGCTCGAGCTGGACTGTGAGCTGGAGCGATAGGTGTGCTTCTCACAGCCAAGCCTGGCACACGGCAGTAACCCTTGGCAGAAGGCAGAAGAGAATCTGCCAAAGCAAATTCACCAGAATTGCTCTGCTAGTACTACTGATTTTTCTACACTAAGCTCCCCAATAATGTAGGAATGACTTACAGCTAATGTAGATGAAGTCAACATTCAAAAGCTCATAGATATTTCCAAGGACGGAACGTAAACACCTTAGTGTAAATAGGCCCGAAGACTAGGCTGAAGCTTGACTACTATAGTTACATCCTGTATATGCAGATGTAAATGTGCTTTTCGAATTTATATTCACTCAACATGGCGAAGTGCTAATTACTTCCTTCAAACTGCTGGGCACCTCGATAAAGCCACCGACCTTGAGGTTTTTGTTGTGCCTTTGGAGCTCCCGGCACAGGCTCTCCAGCTTGCTGCGGGCAAGGATCGCTCGGCTGTGTTCGCTTTGCAGCTGGTCCTTCTCTTTGATGACCTGTGCCTGTCTCTTCTGCAGGTACTTGAGCTGCTTCTGCTCAGCACGATGCTCTTCGAGCTAGCGATTAAAACAAAATAAAGTGGAAAATGAAAGAAAGTCATAGAATCTCATACTGATTAAGGTTGGAAGGGACCTTGGAAGATCATCTAATCCAACCCTTGTGCATAAGCAGGGTTACCTAAAGCACGTTGCACAGGATCACGTCCAAATGGTTTTGAATACCTCCAGAAAAGGAGGCTCCACAACCTCGGGGCAACTTGTTTCAGTGCTCTGTCACCCTCACAGTCAATAAGTTTTTCCTCAAATTCAGGTGGAACTTCCTGTGCTTCAGTCTGTGCCCATTGCTTCTTCACCTATTGCTGGCCAGCACTGAAAATATTCTGACTCCATCCTCTAGACACGCTACCTTGTGGTATTTATACCCATTGGTAAGAGCTCCTCTCAGTCTTCTCTTCTACAGGCTGAACAAGCCCAGCTCTCTCAGCCCGTCCTCATTGCTGCTCCTGTGCCCTGAACACCTTTGTATCTCTGTGCTGGACTCTCTCCAGTAGCTCCATGTCCCTCTTATACTAGGGAGCCCTGGACTGGACTCCAGGGCTGAGCAGAGGGGAGGATCGTGACCCATAACCTGCTGGCAACACTCCGTGTAATGCACCCGAGGGTACCATTGGCTTTCTTAGCCACAAGGGCATGTTGCTGGCTCATGGTTAACTTGTCCACCAGGACACCCAGGTCCTTCTCTGCAAAGCTGCTCTCCAGCAAGTCAGCTCCCAGCCTATACAGGTTATTCCTTCCTAGGAGCAGGACCCTGCACTTGCCTTTGTTGAATGTCATGAGGATGGGCCAGGATGCATATTTCTGTGGATGCATAACTCCAGTTTCCTAAAGAGACAGCAGGGTGTGTGTTATTGTGTTTGAGGATATAGAGAGCTAGAAACAGAATTGCTAGTAGCAGTCCCATAGAGACTGTCTTCCCACATAGGGCTCTTATTGGCTATTTTGAAAAATCTGGTGCAGTGCAAATGAATCAGGAACAGAAATGTCCAAGAAGCCTGCTGAAGCTTTTAAACATTTCTTCTTTTATGTCAACCTATAGTAGGCCTGCTGTCTGTACTACAGCCATACGTATACATTGTAAGAGATTTCTAAAGACCAAATATATTCTAGTTATTGATGACTGCAATATGCAAACCCTAATAATAATGTTATTATTAGCATTACAACATATAATAGTAGGGTGCTATTAGTATTAATTATTATCTATAGTAAGACTGGGTAAGTTTGGGAGTGCAGGTAAATGATACACAGCTCAAACGAGAAGACAGTCATCAGGAATAATGTTTTACACTTTCTGTGCTCGATGATATGTTTTCTGCAGATGTTCTGTAATTTATGCCTACAGTGCAGAGCTCTGTGTATTATCAATCAAATCATAGCTAGTCATATTACAAAGCAATGCAATCACCAGCTTGAAGTATATTTGAAGTTTATACTCAACTTTCAGCATGTGTATTGTTGAGTGGTTTTACCCCTGATAGATAGAATAGGGCTTTTAAATCTAATCAAGCTCCACTAGCTGAAACCATTTTTCTAGTATTGTAGGAAAAAAAATAGCCTCTCTGTAATTAAGGCTGAGATTTGTTTTTCTTTATAAGCTTGATTTTGGCCCTTGCCACATCCCTTTTAAGAACACAAAAAAGGTTCTTTTTACTCCACATTTTGCATGCACAGCCTGTGGTTAGCAGATAATGCTTTGTCCAAATTTCAGATGATTCACTCAAGCTGTGCTTGAGAGAGTGGGCTGAGAATGAAATAGGTCTTAATTGTGAAGTGAAAAGTCTTCCAAGCATTTTTTTTCTTTAAAAATGATTTGACTTAGAAATTTGTATTTGAAAGTTTCCAGGAATATCTAAGATATGATGCTACTTTTGCACTGAATAAAGGAATTCACTGATAAATAGGAATAAAATAAAATAATAATAAAAAAGGTTCCCAATCATAAATTATGAAAAACGATGAAACATTTGCTAAAATAGCTGTAAATAGAAGGAATCCTTATTTTTGCAGGCTGATCGAGAGAAAGAAACTCTTGATTTAAGAAACCGAGCTTTAAGAAAGTTTTCGTCTTGGTGCCATTGCAGACAATGACAATATTCACATTTACTTATTATCATACAGTTCTTGCAAGACCCTCAGGGCCACTGAAACTAAACCGGTCACAGGGAATTGCGCAGCAAGTATTTGTAGGTAAAACCTAAAATAAAGCACGATGTGATTTACTAAACCCAGCTACGCCAGTAGCTCTGCCAGTATCAGTGGAAAAAATGTTCTCTGATGGTGAATAGTGTGGCACGGCTCGCGTCCAAATGTCTAAGCTCTCTTCCTCTCCTCTCCCCACAGGGCATAGCCTCATTCACACGATTAGGGAATAGCATGGGCAGTATGGCTATTCCTTAATAGCATGGGAATATTGCCCATGCTATTCCCTAATGCCTTTCCAGGCAGTGTTCTCACTGCTATAGACTGTATCAGGGAATGGGCTAACAGTTAAATAGCATATAGCCAAGCGTGAAAGTCCAGACTTTGCATAGGACCCTATTTAGAGGCACCCTTTGAAATTACTGCTAACACCACTACTACTTAATCTGTCTGAAGTCAGCCAGATTTCCAGCATCCCTCTCAGCTAAACACATTGCTGCACTATCCCCTGGTCTGTGCTAGAACAAGTACCCACGCAGACACGCAGTTAACCAGAGCAGGGAGTTGATCTGGCTGGAAAATAACTCATCAGAAGCAAAAAGTGGCCTGAAGTGTGCAATTGGGATGGGCGTGAGGGTGCAGGCAGAGTGGCAACTGTGACAACTAAGTGCTGACAAGCTGTTAATCACACTACCCCCAGCCATGCTGAGTGAGCAGTGCAAGCACTTTCCAACAAGCTTTTAGTTATATTTATTAACTGATTTATCTTAGTGACATTATACAGACTGACAAAGCAGAAGGCCCAGTGTTTTCTTTCAGCACCTTCTCCTGCATGGGTTACTGTCAATATGGCCCATGTTTTATACTCTATTCTGCCAATGCTTCAATGCAGCAGAGAATACATTATAAAAGAAGTACTATTTCAGTTAATCAGTGGACATAAAGTCCCTTTAAGCATAGGATAAATTACAAATTGCCAGAAACCAATTTATAAAATTAGAGGATTTTATACACACATACATACAGAAAGAAAGCAGTTTATGATGAGACATGGACACATCTGTGCATTAAACCAATTATAAAGCCAATGTTCTGCACATGCATTTTTCAGTACTCCACAAGCTGTCAAAATACTGCAGTCTTTTCATTTGTAAGATTTGTACAAATTGTGGCTGTATAGCCCTACTTAGAAGAAAGCCCTTGATTTCAAAATATCCCATCTCAAAAGGTGTGGAAAGAACAGAGAAAGGTAGTCAGTTAGCTGGTATGGCTGTAGGGATAACATTATGGTTGTAGGGGCTTTGACTGTTCATTTCACTATGTTTTAGTTTAGTTTCAGAGGCTGATCATTACAGGCACTACAGATCAGGCTAATCTGTTTTCTGATTTTCTACTGCCCAACATTTTATACCAAACTTTGTATTATTACTCTTCTGAATAAATTATTGATATGTGTTTAAGTCAACAGGCGCAAATACAGAATTATTTAAAACTTGTAGAAGGGAAAGGTAAGAGTGCCAGCTGTGGAGTGTCACACGATTCCACTCATCTCCTCTCTGTGCTGGCTTGCTAATGTAGAAACCCTTCAGACCTCCATGTGTATTAATCTGCCTAAGAAAGAACACCATGAAGGAGATATAAAAGACTCGGGCAGACCCACTTACAAATTACCTGCTATTGATTTCTGTTGTTTTCCACTATACTTGACAACAGTTTAAATCACAGGCTTGACCTGCTCTCTTCTCTAACTGTATCAAAGTCTTTGATGATATTATTGTAATTCTTACCTCTATAGTATTTTTCTTCCAACATGATTTTTTTTTTCTGAAGAGTAATAGTCTCTTTAAGCAGGTACATGGGTGCATGGCTGCAGTGTTTAGAGTCAGGAAGGATGAACAATATGAGTCCAGCTTTTGGATTCTCTGGCATTCTAGAATGTTGTGCATTAGAACATGCTACTGAAAGGCTGCATCTATCTTGTCTTTATTAACTGTCTGTATGTAATAACCATACCAGAGTGTTGGCTTGAATGCTATGCTATAATATTCAAACCTTGTTGCATCCACATTGCCTGCAGATGAAAAGTCTGAAGCCACGTCCCCTTGAGGTCCAAACACCTTATAAGACAGTGGATTTACTCCCGACAATGGTCAGAGTGTGGGCCAGGATGAAGAAGGTTTGGATGATCGGGGTTTCGCCTTTTCTGGGAGCTCACAGTACATGTGAAATCTTAGATTGCAGTAATGGCATCCAACTCTCCACTGCTTAATTTTATGAGAATTAAGTGCAGTGTGAAACAATATTGAAGACTTTGCACTACCCACTTGGTTTTACTGTTGAAAATGATGTAAGATGCAAGGAAAAGGAAAATCATGAAGAGATGCTGACAGAGAACAGGCTTTGTGTATGTGCCTTATTTAACTTAGCACTGTTTAAAAGGTTATTTACCTATTGCAATACCTGTTACATCAAGAATTGAGATTATATGAACACCAGTGAATGGACTGGGGGCTCATGGAGTGAGAATTTAGTATAAAGTAATCACGGATAATCTGTTAATGAAAGCAGTGAGCAGTTTGTATGACAGGAAAACATGTGGATCTTGAAGAATGAAAAGATATTTAGAGGATTAGAGTAGAATATTTCTGAAAAATGAAATTATGCTCACAGTACTAAAGACATATATAAACTTACAGCAAGTGTATTAACAATAGTGGTGAATAAACAGATTTACTATTTTTTTTTTGTTATGGCTGAAGTCTCTCAACTGGTGAATCCATGCCCTCAGTTATGCTCCATTATTCCAGAAATATTTACAGAGCTTTATTTTGAACGACAAATATATTGTCTCATCAACTTTCCAAGTTCCCCTTTCAGATTTAATCCAAAGTCAAGCCTATCTTCCTTATATTTTTCTTTTATAGCCTGCACATCCATAATTTGCCATTTAACCCTCAGAATTATCTGGGGACATATTTTATAGGACAGACTCTACTACTAAATGAAGTCTGACCATGTTGCATGACATACGTTTTTTACAACTTACTTTATAAACAGTATGCCCAGAAAAAAAACCAATGCTATACTAACCAACTCAGCATACTTCTTAAACAACAGGTCCAGCTTCTCTTCTGGTGTATTCAGCTTGTTCAAACTTTGCATCAGGAGGGTGGCTTCCTTCCCTTAAAAAAAAAGAAATAGACAGTTAATGGTAGAGGCAGTTTGTTGCTGATATTCCTATGGATGTTTAGAGTCTTTCTCCCCCCAAGAAAAAAAAATATGCTTGAATTTTCATCTATTCCAGAACACAGTTACGTGCTATCTTCTAGCTATGAGGGTAGATTCTTAAAGGTGCTAATGGAACATAGACACCTAGTGCGACTGAAAAGAATTAGCTTTGTCTCACATTATCTGCTTTTCATTTAACAGTTTTTGTAAAATGGCTGGGTCATGCATGTGGCACAGTTGACTGGTGTATGACAGAAAGGACCTGGGCCCAGAAGACCCAAACACTTCATCCATCACAGCTGCAAAATAAAGCTGGTGTACTCAACTCCTGTTCTTCTTTGTATCTTGTATGGGTTAGGAAGAATAAGTTAGGTATGGACACTATGGTGAGGATGGAAACAATCAGATAGCAGTGGGTGTTACTAAGCAGGCCTGAGATACATGATAGTGGTGTAAATCACTTCCCTGACTTGGTGAAGAGATTCTGAATGCCAGAGACAATACATTAGTAGTCCAGTAGCTATCTTGGCATACATAAGACAAATCACTGTGCAAACATTGTTGTCCTGCTTCTAGGCTGATATTTTTGGTATTAATTTCAGTTCCTGAGTACAAACTGGAGCTTGAACACTGCTTGTTCTTGGAGTCCTATGTTTAGTCCATTTTCTGTAAGAATGATCCGCAGTGGCTTTTCTGTAGGATGGCTTTTCTGTAGGCGTAGTCTGCTACTGGATTTGAGTTTTCATGCAAATGAGATGCTTGAAGATTAGCAGGAGTTAAAGGTAAGAAGGTAAATAAATTACAGTTAGACTAGAATGTAACAATATTGCTCTCTAGTGGCTGCCAAGCAGAAAGGACAAACTTTATGAAATCTTGTAGACTTCTTTCTAGCTCAATTAATGTAGGCTGAGGCCAAGGGGAACAGATTCTATGCTTTGAAAGAACAAGCATATGGACTGTGATGAGTCCAGATGTTTCCTGGAGGAAAAATAACCTGGGTATGAGAGAGAATTTATTCCGTAGCTTCCCACTTTGCCATTCTACATAATAGCACCATTAGCTGTTATGACTGGTGAAAAGTCATACTTAAAGAGGAGGAGTAGAAAAAACTATATTCACCTATAAACAAGCTATCAGATTTTCTTTAGACTAAGAGGCAACTTCCTTGTCTGTTCCAAAGACACATAGCTTTGGCTAAGTACTTTATGTGGCCCAGTATCATATAATCATGTGATATAATAATATCTTAAGCTTTCATCTTTTTAAAAGACTAATATCTGATATAGCCAACATGTAATTTCTGGTAAGTGCTAAAAAATATTAGAGGAATTTTGTAACAATCATGATGCTTTTCATTGGTATACGGGAAGTTCCTATTATTCAAGGAAGGTTTAATGTGGGAAACAGCAAGGTTGGTAGTGGTTTTATTTCTGTTCTAAGCAATGGGTTGCAGTGCTGCTATATAATACTTGCCCAGTCCTTTCAGGATTTTTTTCTCCAGCTTTTGCTCCTTGCTGCCACTAGGCTCTTTTGCTCTTGAAGCATCTCCAGGAGCTATCTTCTCTTTCTCACTCTCCTCATTTGTGTCTTCGTATTCTGCATCCTCGTTACCGGCTGATTCTCCTTTTTCAGGCTTCCCAGTTCCTTTAGCAGTGCCTTCCTTCTCCATCAGACTGGCAGCCGAGCCGTACGTTTTAATAATGTCCTCCAGCTGCCGGCTCAGCTCCTCCGAGATGTCACAAACTGTTGTTCCTGGCTGGCTGCTGGGCTGGCCCTCAGGGGATGGAGCGGGTGGCTGGCAGCTGGAGGCGAGTTTCTCCCTGTCTGGCTCCTCAAGGCCGTTCTGCTCAGGCAAGGTGGACACGTTTTCCGTAGGAGCGAGGAGCTGCTGCTCAGAGCAGTGATCACACGACTGGTTGTTCTCCATGCTTGGTGTAGTACCTGATCGCAAACAAATGTAGGGTTAACAAACACATGAAATCTAACCATTCACAAAGCTTCTGTAGCACAATAGGGCTTTTGTGGGGAATTTAGGGAGAAGAGCTTATCCCTTGGCTTTGACATAATGGATATGTCGCACTTACATGAACAACCAAGGTGTTTAATCTCCAGGCAGAAAAGCAAGCTTCATACCTTCCAAGAGGAAAAGCCTGCACAAAACCAGTACTTAAAAACAAAGCTTTTGTTGGCAGTGATACTCAAAATGACACCAGACATTTATATCATTGAACACATTATGTGCCATTGTTTACTTTTCTCAATTTGTTTAGCTGGAATGCTGGCAGTTGACACCTTCATCATGTCAACAGCTTCACATTACATTTGCTTCATTCTTATTTTCTATTTCTCACCTGTTGGCACATTTTGAACCAATAATCACCAATCACACTCCAATCACATCGTGAGGAGCAAGTCAGTGAGAGCTTCCCACATCCTCACCCTGCAGAAGCTGGTTCTGCAAGGAGTGGGGCAGCACAGCAACAACTTTGACCGGGCGCAGTCTGAAAATTCAGCTTATAGAGGAAGCAGCTCTGAGCACAGGCTGAGCTGCCTTTACTACTGCATTGCCCTCCAGCTGTAGTGCAGAGGAGCAGTGTACGCATCTGTCTTGTTGCTGGAACTATTCCACACAGCTGCTTGGCTACAGGCTTGATACTATTTATAGCCCTGAGCTTTCTGTCTCAGTCTGACTTTTGTTTATCCCTTGAAGTATATGATTTACAATAGTGCCAGTCAGGTATCTGGTGAGGAACAGAGAGGAAGATTGCTTTGTCACCTCTGTTCCAGTGTGCAGGGTGGTTGCTTTCCTCCCTTTGAAAAGACAACTTGCTTTGAAAGCAAAGAGCTAACAGAGTAACATTTTGTTCCCTGCTCAGCTGACAGTAATGTGTATTTTCCATGGCATCTAAATTGCTGCAGTCTTCAAAATCATAAACTCACTTGGCCAAAGGCAGTGTATGATGATAGAGATGCAATTTATTGCAATACGTGACTCAGTGTATATTATTAAGCTCTTAGCAGTCTAAGTGATGTTTGGAATTGCAGTGACTGCCATTACTAGGGCAACGTATCTCAAGATTTCATTGCCTAGCTATTTGGTTGTGCCTACTGATAAGACAGTTGGACATCTGTGTTTTATCATCTCTAGCAACTATCAATTGTGGTCCCATAATTGAAAGCTTTGAGTACAGTTCAGGATGTGCCTGTTGCCTGTAAGATGCTAGCTACAAAACAATGCCCCTGAGTCCTTCCATAGGTAAAACTCAGTAACATTAACGGCTTGTGCAGGTAGTTGGAGCTTGTCTCATAGATGCTGTTAGATGGATGGATTTGATATTTTATTTCTTGCTTTTGGCAAAGTGATAATACTACTGCAAAGTGAACTAAAAATTATATCAGTAGGATTTGATGTCTTAGTAATATTGAAAAAGTAAGCCCAAATAATTCCAGTTAACATGAACATTAAAGTACAGTTTGTGATCTTGGTTTAACTAGAGTTGCCAATTAATCCAAATTCAGTGTCATTATTCTAAATACTAAACTGGAAGCTCTGCAAAATATGCTTATTTCTGACATGTTCAGACTAGTATTTACAATTATATTAATTAATTTGAGCTATTTGATAGTTGGTCTTCAATTAAGTAGAAAAGCTGGAGTGACCAGTTCTTGTCTAGAAGAACCTGTGTCCATTTCGGAGCAAAAGTTTCATTAAGCATATCCCTAATAAGAAATAGTTATTTTTGTAATATATTCTTCACAGAACGCAAACTGGATCACTAAATGCTCTATTTTCATATATGAATTTTCATATATGAATGGAGACATATGCTTATGTCTCCATTTGTAAGTAGGCACAGGGTGACATGATTCTTGCTGCCAAAGCCTCAAGCAGATCCTGTTCCTAGGAGTTCAGCTGGTTAAGCGAAGGCGTTTAGCTGGCAGATTCAAGGCCAGCACCTTCACTGCTAAGAGCTATGGGGAAGAAAGCTAGAAGCAAAGCCTGGGCCCTTCTTTCCCTTGGAGCTGCTTTTCAGCTTTACTGTTGTCTCCATTCATCATAGCCGGTATCAGCAACCTCTGTGCACAGTCCTGGACCTCCTTGATTCTGCCCCAGAGCCAGACCTGCTGGCTCAGCTTCCCAGCTTGCCCTTGGACCTGCCTTGTCACTGTGGTCATGCTGGGAGATTGCTGCTCTGTGCTTGACCTTGATCAGTGTGTGCGGACCCGATCGGACCCTGAGTTGTTGCTCCACATCCTGCTTGCATGTCAATGAGTCTCCTGGTCTTCTTGTTATCATGCTTGCCTTCCAGCTCCCTGTCTCTTGCACAGCAACTGGCCCTCACTGCACCTGGACACTTTGCCTTGACTTTCTACCCAAGTCCTAGTGGAATCATTCATGTATCAGCACAGGCTGGCTAAAATTTTCCTGATAAGTGAATCGCTAAGTTTCCAGCTACAAATATAAAATACAGAAGGTTCTAAGTCAGCTATTGATTCATATCAGCTGTGTTTCTCAATAACAAATAAAACATATGGGTGAATTAAAGAGGAACTAGATGTTTTGAATCAAGGACACAAATTGTCTAAACATTCACCTATGAGGAAAGATTCCCTAGTATAATCTATGTCATTCCTATCCAGAAAGTCTCTGAAACCATGGTAATTTACATCTGCTGACATTTAGGCTAACGATCTGAAGTGGTAAGTAGAGGTGAGCCACAGAAACTCAGAGTGATGAACCTTGCTTACATCTTGGATCATGCTGAAGAGTTACACAGACAAGTAAATATTTTAATATTTTCCTCTATTCTCTTTTAGTTGAAATTTCAATCAGAGATCTGATTACTACTTTCAGTATAAACTCAATGTCTGCTAAGGCTTCTGCATCTTGTTTTATATAACTGCTTTGATAATGCAACAGGATTTATATTTAGGTAGACAGAGCAGCTATTTTCTGCTGAGAACAACCCACTTACAGCCTTTGATATTGGAAAATTTTACTGCAATTGGCCCTGGTCCTCCTCTTGCTCCAGCCTGTTTAACCTTGATGTGTATCAGGAGTTCTTTCTTATCAGGCCATAAAAAGATTCTGGTGCTAAACTCAGCAAGCCCCAAAGTGCTTACATTAAATACTTTCTTAGACACAGTATTGGCTAAAAATTGGTTGTCTGAGCACAGCAGGGGAATTCCTTAGTTCCTTGACTTCCAGCAGACTGAGTTGGATTTTGACTGTCTGCCTCTTGACTTCTGTAACTCCTGCTGCCAATACTGTTGTCTCTAGGCTTCTAAATGTCCAACAGGGACATAGTCTGTTTTATGCAGTGAGCTGGGGGAATGACCAGTTATCTGACTGAACTTGAATCTTGGATAATATCTACTCCTTTCCTACTGTGCTAACAAATCCTGGACCTGTTCCATGACTCTCCAATCAGTATCTTTCCTGGCCCTGTTTTTCAGAAGGAAGCTTGATCTCAGATAGTTGTAGTTGCTACCTACAGATATTCACTCCAGATGATTAATAAGGTTTCTTTTTCATTGGAAAATAGAGTTAATACTATGGCAATGTGGTGTTCCTGCATAGCCATGGTGTTTTGAGTTTTAGTGCTCTCTGCTTAAGATACAGCTAGATTGAATTTCAAGCCCAGATCCCAAGCTTGTATTCCTTCTTGACTCCAAACCTAATTTAAAAACTCTAAGCCTGCCCTGTCAGCAACAACGTTAGGACAAACCAAGCTACTATGCTGGACTCTAATGTGTGGCATTAGACACAAAACCACAAGTAGTGGAAAGGTAGTTTGGGAGTTGTTAACTGTACTTAACTACCACAGCCCAGAGAAGACCCAGAGTCTGTCCAGAAAAATGTTCCTCTGCTCTTCCATGTGCCAGAGGTGGGAAGAACCTCTGACAGCAAAAGGGTCCCAATGATGGGCCAGTACTGGCCTCTCCAATCATGTCCTGCCACAGTGAAAAACACTTGGCTAAAACCAGGAGAGCAGGGGAGCACGATGGGACACAGGCAAGCTCTGGTCTCCAATGGGAAGTGGCAGACAGACCTCTGAGGGCTGGTCGTGCATTGCCTGGTCGTGCATTGCCACCTCCAATTGCACTGACACGTGGGGACAACAGCAGTGACCGCATCTACCAAAGGGGCTAAGAGACACCGAAACAGGTAAGCATGTGGTATAGCCAGAACTGCAGTCAGAGGCAAGAGAAAAAGTGTGCTGCTAAGTAGGGTCTGGTAACACGTTCAATTTGTTTGGCTCTGAAGGCATCCCTTAACATCTCACGTTTACAGCAAACTTTGCATTCACTGTGCTCCGAAGTCAGTTAGTCCTTCTAAAGCAAAAGGTCAGTCGGCAAGAGCCAGAGCCTGATTTAGCAGAGCTGTGACAGTCATTCCTGTGCAGCTGGAAAAAGTCATGTGTGCAGCCACGGTGTCAGTCTGCCCCTCACGCTGCCAGAGCAGACACGGCTGCTGTGGCAGGAGACACTGTCCCAGCACAGGCACAGCTCAAATAAATATTCTCTTTTTAGCTCTGTTTTGTGTCCTGTCATGGAGTTTTGTTTATCTTTTGTTTTTTAAAAAAGAAAGTTTTCCCTTCCTTCTTTATCCTTCCCTTCTTGCAGCTTAAACTTCTAGAGGGTTTACAAACTTGTCTATATTTAGTTCTTGCCTCCCCATCTATCCAGCAGAAAGACACATGGCACCTGCTCTACAGCCAGAAGCTATTTTAAGTGCTTCTAAAATGGGTAATGGTATTTAGCACTTTATGCTCAAAATTCACATACACACAGACAAATTCTCTAAAACAAAGTGTTCCACGTAATTAGACCAGACAGCATATGCTGGTAAAACCTAAAGCATTACCTTGATATTACAGAAAATTGAACTACAACAAAACTTTAAAGCAGCAAGTATTAAATTCA